AATTCATCCGCTCAATGCTTCAAATACTCACGATTGACCACATGATCCAGCTGCCTACAGAGTTCTAGTTTTCTTCTCCGTGTAGCAGCGGCCCCTGCAAACCATACGAGACGCCCGGTCGTCGCCCGAAGTACGATATTGAATGTAGTCTTTTGGTCGACTGTATGGCCAGTGTCCACTAGGTGCTTTATGGCTGAACTCTGAGGTACTTCATGTTCCGCCCTGAGCAACCACTTCGGCAAATGTTCAGTTGACCGCGTTGTCAATAGTCGGAAATGACGATCGAAATATCCTCCATTTCAGACAGTAGCAGCCCAGTCGGCATTGGTGATAGCAACTGAATACCTTTACCTGCGGTGTGTGTGTGTGTTTCAACCTTCGCGCTGGAGGCACCGCGACGCCCATCTGGCAGATGGACCTAACAAAGACGCACGCTCATAAGGCGGGCTGGCTGAGCCATTACCACCGCCTGACTCTCCTCTTGGCTGAATGGTTTCTGCTACTGCTGCCTTCTCAACCGTGTGTACACTACCCGACCGGAGATAAGCTTAAACTGCAAAGTCTGTCTTTGAGAGAGCCTTCGTTGTCGAACATTACACATTCACAGTCGGACAGAGAGGTCTTTATTTATAGGGTGCCGTTGTTGTAACCCATCAAAACCACCAGCTTCCGTATTCACCACTGATGGTCGTATTTGGTGCAATTATTTATTATTCGCCCACATTGCCGAATGATGAAATGCCGCCATTTCACCACCATTTCAGTGTTTCGCACAAAGGCGAGTTCGTTTTCCCATGTATATGGAGTGTGTTTTCCTCCAGGCTCATTGGCTAAATAGCGGGTTAGGTTTCATTTCTCACTTATAGGTTTTTATGTTTTCATATGTTCTCCATCGGTCATTCTACCAAATAAGACATCCAAAAAAGAAAGGGCATTCTCCATTCACTCCTGCCAAATCAAGTGTTAATGTTTTGGCAGCTTGATGCATATTGCTCAGAAAGGCACTCAATCAAGCTCCTCACCCGTTCTTACAAACAACTATCATCAATATGCGGGACGTAGTATTCAGGGTCGTTTAAAACTGAATAAATTTGGACCTTCTGTAATTCTCATCTGAAAACGCACTTCAGGAGGATGATACAATCCCTACTCCATCGAGTTTGTGGTAAATTCGCCATCGACTCTGAGGTGGCCCTTCGCTACTTTACCATGACTTGCTTATTTCACTGTATAGGCCTGAGAAAGAAAGAAAGAAAAAGGATAATCTCAAACTTGTGTTGGGTGTCTGTGCCAATTATCCTCGACAACTGCCTATAATGAATTAGCCGATCTTGTCTTGCAAGTGATCGGGGGAAATAGGAAATCACACAAGGAAAAATAAAATTCAAAGAGACAGAAGTTTCATCTAGCGTCCAACCGATGAGCAGAAATGTTCTACACTGGAGTGGTGAAATCTACTATCATCTGCAAGACCAAAATGCATTGCATCAGCCGAAGATGTTGAGGTTGGAATACACACGGACGGGTCAGAGACCTGTTGTATTTCCTCGTTCATGTAACACGGGACAGAGTTACGTAGCACCGCCGACAGACGTGTAGGAGTGAAGGAAAATAGCAGGCCAGTAACATAAAAGTAGTCTATTATAAAACAATGAGTAAGCAGAAAAATGAAAAGGGTAACGTTACAAAATACAATCGATTCGTTTGACGTGATCACCGAATATCAGATAGATGCTGGTGGGAAGTGCAATGCTGTCGGCAACTGCGGGTGAGAACCATGGAGGTGCTGACGAGACAGGACACACTGTACGACGTGATAACGGTAACGGGGGGGCAAGAAGTTAGCGGCGGGGAGGGAACGAACGGCGTTCATTATCACGGACACATTATCACACCAACGGAACTCAGAAATCCGCGCGAAAGTGACCTTGGCACATTCGAACGATGGCGGGTTCGTTAAACGTGCCTGACATGAGGTCAGACTCACGTGCGTAGGCGAGGGGCCGAAAAAATCAATATCATCCTAAGCCGCGTGTTTCAAATACTGGCTGTCTGTATGTTGGGGCAGAAGCATGCTCCTCCTCCTCCTGCTCCCCACCCTCATCTCCTGTGTGTTCGGCTCTACGCACCAAAAGGATTGGTGTGGAAGCGATAACAATAAAAATTGCAAAATAGCCTACATGGCGCTTGACATATACCTCGACCATGTGATCTCGTGGGGAACCTGTACGTTCGAGGACGATAAAAGGATAAAAATTGAAGTGCACAAGAAGGAGGTAGAAGTACGACAGATAAAGCAGGGGGCTTATTTGTGTACTGGACAGCCCAAAACGACACGCCTCTATGTTTTCAGTAAGTTGGGATATTTCTTCGCGTTAGTAGGCTGCTGGATGCGATGAATTCCCCCCGTAATACCCCTGTTTCATAAGAAATAACACGCAGGTGTCGACCAAAGAACCTCGAGGTCCATACTTGACTTTCGACAAAAAGGTCCCAGCTACTGCATTATTATTTTATGACGTCTAAATTAAGCCACTCTTGCTTTTCGTTCAAATTTAGTTATCTCCGGTCATAAATTGGGCATTGAATAAGTAATCACCTTGATTTACATATACAGTGGAAATTAATTTTGGGTTCAGAGAAGGCTTGATGTGAACAAAAAGGAACAAAAAACTTCCTTTTTATGAAACAAGATGTTACATAAACGTAATATATATAATTAGAAGTAGGGTTAACAGTCAGCAGAATGTGCCTTGTATTCCACGCACCGGCACACTTTGCAAATTGGGTTATGTCTTCTCTACATCGACGCCCAGTGGCCAAATTTCGTTTGCATGCTTTTGATTAGAAGTGGCACAGGCCAGGTGAAAAGAACGTCAGCGAATACAATACTCATTTGATTGCTACTTTGGTAGTATGCATTAGAAGAAAACATTCACAGAAATGTTGTTGCTTTTACTCGTAGATAGACACGTATGCATTCTTCAAATTTTATACGTAAAGAAATGGTATATTTCGGTTTTACAAATATTTCTAATCATAAAATGTCTATGATTGTGAAACTTTTACTCATAATGCATCGTATCAGTCAATCTATTAGCGTCGCCTACAATGTATACGGCATGATCCAGATCTACTGAGAAAGTTTGTGAGAACCATGCAATCTCCTCACACCGTAGGGCAAAACATAGTTTTCCTTAGACAGGATGCACGCAGCATGCAGTTTGGAAACCCCAAGTTCAAGCGTAAAAATCGTTAGGTTTCTTAATTATTCGGCAATTTAGAAACTTATTTAAAATTAAAACCTGACCTTAAGTATAAGATTCAAAGAAATTGTAATTTGCTAGCAAACGAGTGCAAGGACGAATATTTTCGTGCATATTTTTTTACCAATCATATTCGAATTTATAAGCGCATTGAAAATCAATAAGTTAAATGCATAATACCTAAGTAGCCATTTTTCCACAGAATATACTTTTTATAAGCGGTCGGAAAGAAGCTCACTAAAAAGCTGGCATCCTGATGTAACTTGAAATTAGGCTGCACTTAATGCCGGCATGCGAGTGGTTACCACACTTTCTCAAATTCCGTCATCGTGCATGAAATACCGACCGTACCTTAATATTTCGGCGAGTGAACTCAGCAACACTCATTGCCTATAGTCGCTGTAATTGTAAATGTCTGGTGCAGCAAGTTCCTCATGTGTAAATAGCAACAATGATAACAAGGGGACGCTCTTTTAACAAATTTTCGATTATGACATGATTGGGCTTCAGTCGGAAACACTATACGTTGAAGTTACCTGCCAAACGGTCTCTGTTTAGGAATTATCATGGGGTCCTCACAATGCGCACGAAGCGCCCTCCACTACAATACGGGTACCTGGTTCTAGGGGATGGAATGCGTGGGGCATATCAGAGGGCAAATAAGTGCTAATAATCGTGTAAATTAAGAAAATTGCGCGTTTAAGTTAGGGGATGTTCGCTGATCTTGGGTGAGGTCACTGGGTGACATCTTTTGATAGCATCACCAAATCCTACTGGATCCACGGCGGCGTGCGTAAAGGATTGTGGAAATTCACCCTACTTAACATTTGTAAGTAAGCGATATTTTAGATGTTGGCCTTCTGCGGACCCCCCGATTGTTCTCTACCGTCTCTTTTTTTATAAGACAGCTTTTTGGGATTTTGAACGTTGATAAAAGTTCTGCCATTGGTATGTTTTATTTGCTTTTTTACATGCCCCTTCCCAGAAGGTGACTCTATGGGTCCACATTGGATTACTATTATTCCAATGCTTCCGTCGGTTCACATGGGGCGAGGAACGTACACGGCCGTGCTATCAATGAATGTCCCTGAAAACGATCCTTTTTTCAAAATTTGGCTGGCGTCGGTGAAGGACTCAGAGTCAACAAGCAAAATTATACTCAACGGAAAACATGTGCACGTCAAGGGGGGCCATGAAGGCTTCGTAAGGATCATGCCACCTTACGATCACCGATTCTTGGAGCTCCAGCACCATAATTCTACCATGAAGTTAAATGAGGGTTTTACGGGGACCAAGGGCATTGTTATTACCAGTCTGGACCGCGAGGAACGATATAGTTTTACTTTAGCTGACGGTGGGTTTTAAAAGCAAATTTTCTTTCCGTTTTTTTGAATGAGTATACATCTTGTGTGAACGGAACTTGTTAGGAACACCGATGTTTATTCAGCTCTTTTATTTTCCTTAGGTTTCAAAAATGCCCATAACCAAACAGGTCGCTTTCAACCCCTATGCAGAGCGGGTTTACTCTCCTTATAATTTACGCGCAAATCATCTTGCTTGCTTCCAGTTTGCTGTGGAACAAGTGGTGGACATGGTCGAAAGCGACGGTGTAAATGGCGGGTGACTGTTCGGTTAACTACCGAAGGCTAATGCCCCGCTTCGGTGCAAGGAACTAATCGTATCGTGCTTGTATACTCAAACTTCCACAGTAATCATAACTTCGTAACTTGACAGATTGGAACGCACTGAGGAGTCTGCGAATATCTATAATGATGGGTTCAAGTGAGAATCTTAAACGACAGAGCAACAAACGGGCTATTCCAGTGATGGCATATTTGTCTGCTGCACTGCCTTTTTGAACTCACCTATTCATCTTTATCAGAGTAGTGCGAATACCTCCGATGGACTAGAGCGAGATAAAACATGTATAACAACTTATGGTCGACTCTTTCATACAACATGAAAAGGCATTTATTAAAATTGGTTGGTATAAGTTCAAAATGATTATACATACATTGTTCGAACTGAAGACGGACATTTATGGTCCTATCCATATAAGGACTTCCGGTTTTTACGACCTGGACGAGTAGTATATGTCTGCAAGTAGGGTAAAGGCGCGACCATGGAAATATTTTGAGATACCGCTTCAACTCCTCAAAAAATCTTACTTGCTCTAATGAATAATCACTGATTCATCCGCGGTATGCTGTATGGGGGCTCAGTTACATAGTTTTTAATAGAAGGCGGGAAAACGTTCTCTAGGACCAGTATTTTATTTGCTCGACGTTTCGAACTCTCACGCGAGCTCACTGTCAAGAAATAAAAAATGTGCAGCTCATTATTTATTTAGTTCAGCTCTCCCGGGAATCACCGTGAACACTGCCATTTCGAGCTGCGCGAACAAATCAATGGCAGAGTTCAAGGTCATTCCCGGCAGAGCTGAACTAAATACATAGTGAGCTATACATTTTTTATTCCTTGACAATGAGCTCGCGTGAGAGTTCGAAACGTCGGGCAAAGAAAACACTGGTCCAGAGAACGCTTTCCCGCCTTTTATTCAATTACCTGGGCCTTGTATATTTTCGACCATTCAGAATAGTTTTTAATGTGCCGATAAAGACAGGGAAGTTCCAGAAGGCCAGTTTTGATTTATTAATCGTCGACAGCTAGTCCTGCCTAAGATCAGGTCTGGTGGAAGATTTGGGCTTCGAAACTGGGTCCTTCAATTATGGAAAGTTAGAAAGGCCAACAATCTAGCTTTGAGCCATCGATCCTCTATGCGATAATTATTATTCCTGTTCACAATCGATAGCGTAACGAAAACCTGTGGCTCTATCTTTTGCGGTTAGATTTAACTCTTAATGTTCAAAACGTTTTGAGTTGGACGTCAGATCAAGCAAGCCCGAAGTTCGAATCTAAAAAACTATCTCTGTGTGTAGAGAGAGAGAGAGGGAGAGAGAGAGAGAGCAAGTACTATGTGCACACACATTGCTCTATTCAGTCTCCCTAGAAATTAATTGTGGTTGGCCGTGTTCGCGGCCTAACTGTGAGGTGCCGAATAGCTTGGTTCGGTGGATTAGTAAAATAGACGTGTATTCTTA